GGCAGCATGTTCATATTTCTAACTTGCATAATTTTGACAGGATATATTTTTATGAAGAGCAAAATATTTAAAGTTAAAGTTTATTTTTTAAGATTATTTATTCTGGAATAATATTCCTGTCTGTTTTTGTTCATAGTCTGTTCAATAAATGGTTTTCTTGTGGTCCCCTGTGCAATTGAGTTTGACACCCCTGAATTAAAATTCTGTCTGGGTCATTGGTTGATTAATAAGCTGGAGTGGAATATTGCTGCCACACCCCCTCCTCAGTCTGTCCTCAAGAATTTGGACAATTAGCATGTCTTGAGGGTGTTGATTCAATAAAACTAAGATATTCATCCTGCTGTAACCAGGTTTTTGTAAGCCATGAAAAACCAATGTGTTGATCAATTATTAAAATGTACTAACAGGGACTTAGAAGAGATACACCTAATATTTAATAATCCATTTTTCACAGTTTTACTCTTTGGTGCAGTTGTGGATACAAGATTGTTCTTTCGTTGTGATATTTAAATTGTTTTCTGGTTGATTGATTTTTGGTTGTTTGGGGGCTGACACAGTCTCTAGGGGCATCGAGTTTTAGGGGGACAACAGGAGGAGAGAAGCTGCAGAGAGTTATGTAAGACTTCAACTCTGCTCCCTGGTCCCAACTCTGGATAGTCACAATTGGGTGTTTTTTTAAATAAATTTGGTTAGATTTCTGAAAATGAGAGCTGCTCTATCCACATGTCACTCCTGGCCCGGTTGCGGAGGGTACCAGAGAAAACTACTGAGTCCGACATTGTTTTGGCAAAGTTACACACTGATTCAACTTAAATTTTTGTGACCTCCGATTGATGTAACTGGGTGTCATTACGGCCGATGTGAATTATAATGTTACTGAATTTATGTTTGCCCTTAGCCAGCAGTTTTAAATGTCCCGCTTCACATGTCTTAGAACAGAATCAGCAATTAACAGAGTTTGATCCCCGGCAGATGTTGCCAAGTGGGGAAAACTGACAGTGATGTGTTTCCCTCTTTATGCACTGAAGCTGGCACGTTCCCTGAGTTCTTCCAGCAAGATGGTGCACCACCACATTATGGGTGCCAGGTCCGAGCATTCCTAGATGAACAGTTTCCTGGAAAGTGGATTGGTCGTCGTGGGCCAGTTGAATGGCCCCAAAGGTCTCCCAATCTGACCCCCTTAGACTTTTATCTTTGGGGTCATCTGAAGGCAATTGTCTATGGTGTGAAGATACGAGATGTGCAGCACCTAAAACTACAGATACTGGATGGCTGTGCTGGCATTTCTCCTGCGGTGTTGCTATCAGTGTGTGAAGAGTGGGAGAAGAGGGTTGCATTGACAATCCAACACAATGGGCAGCACATTGAACACATGTTATAAGTGGTCAGAAACTTGTAAATAAGTCATGACAGAATAAAGTTACGTTGAAACCAAGCACAGCATTGTTTTTCTTGTGACATTACCAATAAGTTTGATGTGTCACATGGCCCTCTTCCTATTGAAAAACAAAAGTTGTATCCAAGATGGCCGAGTTCTAAATGGCCACCATGGTCACCACCCATCTTGAGGAGTTTGCCCCCTCACATATACTAATGTGCCACAAACAGGACTTTAATATCACCAACCATTCCCATTTTATTACGGTGTATCCATATAAATGAC